TAAAGAAAAATAGGCCTTTGAACAAGATAAAAATAAATAAAAATAACTAGAAAGAACTTTTGGATACCTGAATAGATATCTTTTAAATAGCTGGCAAAGAATTGCCTGCAAATTGGCTCACTACATCTTCTTCCTTTATGGTGTGGTACATGCCTCCAATGTTGCTCAAATCACAGCCTTTTTGCATTATGAGGAACAGAAAAATAAAGGAGACTTCTAGCTTTATGTGATATTTTCCCTACCCTTCTCACCATGGGGAACAGACTTGCTTAGTCCAACCTGTGCATTTCTGCTGACTCCTTCAGATCCCATCATGCAGCAGAAGCTAAAGATGGGCTTTGATCTTCATAGAGACCTGGGCAAAAGACAACAGGGTATGCTTACGCCCATTGAGTCACAATAGGAAAAGATAGGGAAAGGCCTAAGGATGCACAGGGAGTCTGCCTTTTTGAGTTTTATTTTTTGGAATTTTGAGAGGGTAACATTTCTCCTACAGTTACCCTCCAAGTTGTGATAACACACAGCTAAGGGGACATATACGCAGGGAAATGGGACCTTCTAATCACAGACATGCAAGCACCTGGAGGGAGCAGCTGGCAGTGGTGGAATGGCCCTTCTTCCTTCCCTAGGTCACATACAGATGATGGCAGCAAGGAAGGAATCTTGGTGCTAGTAGCTTGGAACAACACAGCTCACCCAAAACTTTCTTTTAGTCTTCCTTTACTATTTTTTTCAATGATTGTTCTCCTCTCATAACAAGAACACCTAAAACAATGCTTATGTTTTTTTAACCCAGAATTGTTTAATTTTTTTCAATTTGGTTTACAATTCTTTTAAGCTTCAAAGAATCATATTAGTTCTATCTCACACATGTCAAATTGGCTATGTTAATAACCACTGTTTGATCCATGATTGATAAAATAGTACTATTGACATAAGACAATTTCTTTCCTACAAATAAGCTGTTATTGCTTATCTTACATATATAATTATCATGGTATCAGCTGTAAAAATCAGATGAAATAAATATTTTCCAACTTTTCCCTTTGCTTTTTAAAAATGAGATACAAGTGACTTCCCACTTAAAGGACTCCTTCCTGGACCAAGATTCCCTTAACACCCTTCTGTCTTTTCTAGACCTATAACAACTAACCCAATAATGCTGTCAATCAAATTGTTACAGGTTTAACATGTGCATTGCCCCCTCTTTCCACCCTGCAGTGACTATTCTGTGGGTTTATTGTTACAATCAAAGAAAGCCACAAACATTCATCAAAATGAGGAAGGCAGAATGTCCTGATGTAGCAGAGGAGATCCTAGAAGCATTCTTTCATCAGCAGCTGGCTGACCAAAAGAGAGCCACTCTGATTGCAACATCTAAAGAGCCAGCCAGTGCCTGGTATACTCTGGATAGGATCACACCCTTGATGCAACCACATTTCCTCAGGAAGATATTGCCCTTTTCAGACAGATTTCTTTGTTTAAAGAGGCTACCCATAGGCTCTCAAGAAATCTAAAAAATTGTTGCAGGTTTGATACTGGGGATCATAACCTTAGATGTGGTTTTAAGTTTTGCCTTATCCACTACATTCTTAGTTAAATAAATTCACACAGCACATCATGTAGATCAGTTTCCCAAAAATATGTCAATATCACTGATGATACAGGAGAATATTAATTGGGGTCATTCAGGATAGGTTTAATGCTTTAGAGGAAGCAGTTCTATTTTGGGGAAAGTCAAATTCAATATATTAAAAGCAGGCTCTCAATACAATACTATTTATTGTTCTATTGTGTTTGTGTAATTATCTTGAAATGTAATACTTCTGAACATGATTGGTCTTCACTTCAGTCTCATTTAAAGATGCTTTGGACCAATTTTAATTTGACTCTGGATATGGATTTCATACACCATAAGATCATGGATATTAGTAATTCTAGAGTGGGATCCACTTCTATTGAAGAAGTTTCTGCAGTTTTTGTCTCTGCTATGCAGGAGTTCACTTCTTTGTCTTCTTGGATGACTTTGGTGCTAAATGGTGGAATTGTAGCTAGTTTATTCTTAACTGGCCTTGTTTCTTCTTCCAGTCTGTAATAAGCAAGTTGAGCTTGCAATAACCACACTCACAATCAATATTTACCCTCTTGAATTAAAATGAAAGAGGGGCAGATGACAGATCAAGCATTGGTAGGGATAAAATGATATGGTTCCTTTCCCTGGGACAGAGCCATTGTGCATAGACCTCCAGAAGTGTCGATGGCTGATATGAACTTAAGGATTGTTTGTATAATAATATACATATTTTTACACTCCTCTGAGCAATGTCCTCCCTGTTTATGTTAATGATTACATGAAAATCAGGGACAGGATGAGTCTGAGAGGCCAAGGTGTATCAAATGTCTCAGCAAAATGGTAAACAGTGGAACCTTCAGGACAGCAATTAAAGGTATGGAAAATAATTCTAAAACCATGAGTTTGATTATTACATAATTTCTCTGCTATACCAAAATATAAGGATGCAATATGAATTTTATAATTTATAGTTGATGAGCAAGAAGGAAGTAGCCTTCTCTAGGAAAATCCACACATTACCTAATACCAAATGATCAGTACTGAAAAGATACATATGTTTAACATTATATATGTGGAACAGGTTATATTTATACAACAAATCTAAAGGAACAGAGGCAGCTGCACTATGAGCTAGTTTGTCAGAAAGATACAAATGCAGGTAGATTCCTGAGTGGAAGGTCAATCTGGGACAGAGCGAATTTAGGTCTACATGTAGTCAGAATGGTAATTTCAGATCAAGGTCCCATCTAGGTAAGTTTACAAAGGCAGGCAGATAGATCTCTGAGTTCTTTTGCAATGCTAAATAAAAAAAAAAGTGCTTGCTATCTCTTAGAATCAAGGGGTTGGGGGTCATAGAATAATCAAAAGGGAACCTGGAATAAATAACTGAATTGCTATGTAAATAAAAAACTGGGTGTGCTAGTAAAAAGTGAGAGCAGTTCTTTTTTAGATTTTTTTGTTTATCTAGCAAGATCTGAACTGTCTGAAGTTCTCTGTAGAACAAAACCAACTCAAGAATGTTTTTCTAATAGGAGTTCTGATTTTAGTCAGAAAATCCATGGATACTGAGCACAGCTCTTTTAGAGATTTTCATAGTTCTTTTAGAATTTTTTTAAATTGGATATTTTATTTATTTACATTTCAGATGTCATCCCATTTCCCCATTTCCCTTCCCTAGAGAGCTTGAATATTGCTAGCATGACAGCTTTAATTACATTAATTGCCAGCACCACTGCTTCTGCAATTGCTTTGACACAAGGAGTTAAGACAGCTACTTTTGTTAATAATTTAGCAAAAAGTGTTACTAATGTGTTGAACATACAAGAGGATTTAGATAGGCATTTAGAATTTTTCATAACAAGATTTCTGACAAAAAAAGATCAGAAATCTCAAGAATCATTTAGAGAGCTGACACAACTCTTTTTGAATGTTTATTAGCAGCTATCCAGAGATGTAAACACAGCTCTTTTTAGATTTTTTTCTTTTAGATTTTGATTGAAAAACCCAATAATTACTTTTGGAACTTTTTTTTTTAACAGGGTTTTGGGCTTGGCTGGAAGAACCAAGAATTTTTTTATAGCAGTTTTTCCCACTTTAGTTAGAAAACCCATGAGCTATCTAGAAAACATTCAGAATTCTTACTAGTAGAGATAACTGTCTCTAGAAGAAAGCTAGCTGTCTCAACCAAATTGTTTTTAGAATAGCAAGAAAAAGCTATCTAGAGCAGAGCAGAACACAAAGCAAGAGAACAGTCTGGAAAGCCATCTCAGCAGACCATAAGTCACTGGCTTGGAGCCACAATTTGTCTTGAGTTATTTGTTTTTCCCACTCCCAGACACCACTTCCTCAGAACCCCTCTCCAAGCTGAGACTGGTACTTGACAATCAGTCATTAGTTCCACAGGTAATGTGCTTTTCAAACATGCACCAGAGCTTTAAGTTTATTACAACAGAAAAATTAAACCAAGAATGGTGCAACACACCTGTTCTTTCAGCACTCCAGAAGTAGAGGTAAGATAGTCAGTTGTTTAAGGTCATTCTCAACTACATAGTAAGTTCAAAGCAAATTACACTACATAAGATCCTCCATCTTAATAATGAATTAATTCATTAAAAATGGACATTTACTTTTAGAGTCATATCCATTGAAGTTGCTCTTCTTACAGAAAAAGAAATTCTGTGAACACAGAGTAGCCTATGCTTATTTTGTTTTGCTTCATTCATGGTGCTCTTTCCTTAGATATCATTTTCTCTAGACATAACTCATCCCTCTTGTGTGTATGTACTGGGACCCTTGATGCCATCTTCTCCCCCAAACAGGTTTTAACTATCATATTTTACATATCTAGCACAAGTGTTCTGTCTTCAAATGCTATTTCTCTCTAAAAATCTCTATTTCTAAATCTGTTGTATCATCATGGTATCTTTCTGAAGAAACGGAGACAAGTATAGACTTCTCAGATAGTGCCTAAATGTAAAACTCATGGCCTTCTTTGTGTCATATCTATCTTCAAAGAATGAGCAAGTGAACTCTGGCCCATTTCTTATCAAATACACCTTTCTTTTATTGTCTTGGATTTTCAATTGCGGTGGTAAAAAATCATGACTAAACAAAACTTGGGATAGAATGGTTATAATTCTCATAGACATGACCCTGAAAGCAGGAACTTAAGCAGAGGCCATGAGAAATTTGCTCCTTCAGGCTTTTTCAGATATATATTATATAACACCAGGACTACCAACCCAGTGGTAGTACCACACATAATTGTCTGAGCAATTCACATCAGTCTTTAATTATATTAATATTTGAAGACACCTTTTAAATTGAGGTTCCCACTTCTCCAATGACTCTAGCTTATGACATGAAAACTATGGACAGGATATTGGCTTGTGGGTTTCATAGTACCATGAAAAAGGTTGGACCTTACCTGGTGTGTTACGCAGGCTGGATCTCCTGCAGTAGTATGTTACCTCCTGTTCACAGTGCTCTGAGCCTTCAATCAGAGCCTCCAGCTGCTCCAGACTCCCACCATAGTTTAAGGTCATGGCATAGGGCTTCGCAGTGTTGGAAACCTGTACCCAAGTCAACTCTGTGTTGTTGTGCTGAACTGTCATCCAGATCTTGTCCTCTGCACAAATAAAAATGCAAAGCAGGAAAAGTTAGAAGTAAAGCCCAAGCAAGAGTACATAAACTCAAAGTACAAAAGAATCTCCACTTGAGTACTCTATACAGACAGAGAATGGTATAAAAGCATTCTATTCTTTGTAGAAGCACCAGAGACTTTCTTTCCTTATAGGGTTCGACCTCAGGTAGACAAATAACAAGAGGTAGGGTCTATGGTTATGATTACTTATTCTACATGCTTTATACTATGCATTTAATGTACCTTATTAATTTAAAATTGACAAATAGAGTCTACTTCTGCATCCATATGGAGGCTGATAGAAGGCTTTCTAAAGTATGTCAAAGTATACTAGTACACAACTTTCTCAAATAAAATGGCATTTTGATATAGTCTATACAGTCACTTTAAACTTTAAATCATCCTAATATTACTTTTGATACATACTAAAAGATAAATGTTATATGTAAATAGTTGCCATACTATGTTGCACAGGAAATTTTTAACAGGGATAGGATATCTGTGAAAGTTTAATATAAACTCAGTACCAGAGGTAATTTTTTTAAAGAACCATTAAGAATCAGGTCAAGACTTCCAGTCTGGGCCTGAGCATAGAGCAGGTCACAGGCAACAGCTCTGTACCCAACCCCAGAAAACCAAGACAAAGAGAGAGTCCCAGGAGCTTTAACTCAGGCAGCATCCCAGGTAAGGAAAAAGCAGCACTTGTCCCAAACAGGGAGAAACCGGGACTCACTGGGACCCAGGAATTCACTCCTGGCCCAGAGCACAGGCTCCATCCAGTCTGGGCCCAAGCACTTGGCAGATCCTGGGAGGCAGCTCTGCACCCAGTCTCACAGAAACCAGAGGAAGTGGGGCTCTCAGGAGCTCTAACCCAAGCAGTATCTTAGGCTAGGAGGTGGCAATACTTGTCCCCAAACAGGGAGCAACTGGGACCCACTGGGACCCAGGAATTCACTCCTGGCCCGGGATGCAGGTTCCTTCCGGTCTGGGCCCGAGCAGATCCCGGGAGTCGTCTCTGCACTCAATCTCTCAGAACCCAGAGGAAGTGAGGCTCTCAGGAGCTCTAACCCAAGCAGTATCTTAAGCTAGGAAGCGGCAATACTTGCCCCAATCAGGGAGCAACCGGGACCCACTGGGACCCAGGAATCCACTCCTGATCCAGGGCCCCTGGGCCCCTTCCAGTTTCCACCTGAGCACGGAGCAGATCTTGGGCCTCAGCTCTAACCCCAGCAGCAAAACCCATCCCAAACAGTTCTGACACAACCTAGGTAATAGGAAAGACAGGCCCCAGTCAGAGACAGCACAGATAGCACAAAGGTGATCCAGATGGCAAAAGGAAAGTGCAAGAACACAAGCACCAGCAACCCAAGGTACCTACCATCATTAGAACCTAGTTCTCCCACATTAGAAAGTCCTGAACTCCCCATATCACCAGGAAAGCAAGAACCAGATCTAAAATCACTTCTAATGATGATGATAGAGGACTATAAGAAGGGAATAAATAACACTATCAAAAAACTTGAGGAGAACACAGGTAAACAGGATGAAGTCCTTAAAGAAACACAAAAATCCTTTAATGAATTACAAGAAAACACAAACAAACAGATGAAGGAATTGAACAAAACCATCCAGGACATAAAAATGGAAATAGAAACAATAAAGAAATCACAAAGGGAGACTACCCTGGAGATAGAAAACCTAAAAAAGAAATCAGGAGTCATAGACACAAGCATCAACAACAGAATACAAGGGATAGAAGAAAGAATCTCAGGTGCAGAAGACACCTTAGAAAATATTGACAAAACTGTCAAAGAAAACGCAAAATGTGAAAAGTTCTTGACACAACACATCCAGGAAATCCAGGACGCAATGAGAAGACCAAACCTAAGGATAATAGGTATAGATGAGAGCTAAGATTCCCAACTTAAAGGGCCAGTAAATATCTTCAACAAAATTATTGAGGAAAACTTCCTTAACCTAAGGAATGAGATGCCCATAATCACACAGGAAGCCTACAGAATGCCAAACAGACTAGATCAAAAAAGAAATACCTCCAGTCACATAATAATCAAGACACAAAATGCACAAAACAAAGAATTTTAAAAGCAGTAAGGGAAAAAGGCCAAGTAACATCTAAAGGCAAACCTATCAGAATTACACCTGACTTCTCACCAGATACTATAAAAGCCAGAAGATCCTGGACAAATATCATACAGACCCTAAGAGAACATAAATGCCAGCCCAGGCTACTTTACCCAGCAAAACTCTCAATTACCATAGATGGAGAAACCAAGATATTCCATGACAAAATTGAATTTACACAGTATCTTCCCACAAATCCAGCACTACAAAGGATAATAGCAGGAAAGCTCCAATACAAGGAGGGCAATCATACCCTAGAAAGAGCATTGGAAGAATTAATATAGTAAAAATGGCTATTTCCAAAAGCCATCTACAGATTTAATGCAATCCCCATCAAAATTCCCCACTCAATTCTTCACAGAGATAGAAAGAGCAATCTTAAAATTCATTTGGAATAACAAAAAACACAGGATTGCGAAAAATACTCTCAGCATTAAAAAAACTTCTGGGGGAATGAATCACCATCCCAGACTTCAAGCTGTACTACAAAGCAATAGTGGTAAAAACTGTGTGGTATTGGAACAGAGACAAGCGGGAGGATCAAAAGAATAGAATAGAAGTCCCAGAAATGAACCCCCATACCTATGGTCACCTGATGTTTGACAAAGGAGCTAAAACCATTGAGTGGAAAAAAGACAGCATTTTCAACAAATGGTGCTCGTCCAACTGGAGGTCAGCATGTAGAAAACTGCAAATTGATCCATACTTATCTCCTTGTACAAAGCTCAATTCCAAGTGGATCAAGGACCTCCACCTAAAACCAGCCACACTGAAACTAATAGAAGAGAAACTGGGGAAAAGCCTGGAACACATAGGCACAGGAGAAAAGTTCCTGAACAGAACACCAATGGCCTGTGCTCTAAGACCAAGAATTGACAAATGGGACCTCATAAAACTGCAAAGCTTCTGTAAAGCAAAGGACACAGTCAATAGGACAAAGCTGCAACCAACAGACTGGGAAAAGATCTTCACCAACCCTACATCTGATAAAGGGCTAATATCCAAGGTATACAAAGAACTGAAGAATTAGACTCTAGACAATCAAAGAACCCTATTAAAAAATGGAGCACAGAGCTGAACAAAGAATTCTCAACTGAGGAAGCTCGAATGGTTGAGAAGCACCTAAAGAAGTGTTCAGAATCCCTAGTCATCAGGGAAATGCAAATGAAAACAACACTGAGATTCCACCTCACACCAGTCAGAATGGCTAAGATCAAAAACACAGGTGCCAGGAGATGTTGGAAAGGATGTGGAGAAAGAGGAACACTCCTCCACTGTTAGTGGGATTGTTCCTCAAAGAAAAAAAAAATGATGATTGGAAAGATGTTTCAGCAGTTTAGAGAGTGTCTTTTTCTAACAGAAAATGAAAATTCAGTTCCCATAACCCATATTCAATGTTCTTAACCACATATAATTATATCTTTGGGGATCCTATGGTCCTTTCTGACTCTCACAGACATTTGTACTCAGTCACAGATACTTTCTTAACAAAAATGCACACTTTTTTTAGTCTTCAAAAGAAAAAGAAGATGAATGACATCTGTGGACTGTCTACTGTGGTTCTACCCTGACTTCCAAATACACACACACACACACACACACACACACACACACACACACACACACAAACATTTGCAATACTTATTCTTGGTTGTCAACTTGACGACATCTGGAATTAACAAAAACCCAAGCAGCTGGGTAGACTTCTAAGGTATTTTTCTTAATTATATCATTAGAAGTGGGAACACCCACCCTTGAATCCTGATTAAGCATGTAATCCATGTGCATATCCTTAAGCAAAAGATCCTTATGCTTAGATGGTATAGCTTCATCCTTGATAATAATATGTTGTTTTATAGAGGTTGCTTTTGAGGTTGGAAGATACACATTCAATCTAGGGCAAACCTGATAGCAGGCTATGTAAGGAACTCGAAAGAAGGAGATTTTGTTCTTTACCTGCTTCACCTCACTCTTACTGGAAAGCTCATTCTTTTTCATTTGATCCTACTTCTTTGGGATTCTGGTATTTACTGAAAAACAGCTGAGAAATCCAGCCTCTTGCACTACTGTATTCTTAGACTTTCTGTCAGTAGACAGCTATTGTTGGGTTGATTGGACCACAGCCTATAAACCACTGTAATAAGTCCTATATTTATATGTTCTGTCAGTTCTGTTCCTCTAGAGAACTTTGAGAAATATAAAATACCTGTACACATATATACAAAAATTTCTGAAAATTTTTGTACTGTAAAAAGTCACAGACATGTTGCTCTTTCAAGTAGAACTAAATGACAAGAAAAAAAAGAATAGACAATATTGGTAAGAGATAGGAATTTGCTTTTAAAGGTACAGAAATCTGCACCTGAAAGAGACTTTTGCTAGTATGAAACTTAGACTGGTGACTTCAGTGTTATAATCAATTAAAACGTGTGACAACAAAATCAGGGCAACAGTGCCCACTATGCAGGCAGGAATCAGGACTACTAATGTTGAACAGAAACCAAGACCATTTCAAGCAGACAAGAAAGGTGGTTCTGCAGGTAAAATCCTATACCTCTCCTCCTGTGAACTAAGTCACATGGCATATTAATACTTAAAGTTCCAGTTTCAGGGAATCCAGTGTCCACCTTGGTCTCTGTGAGAACTGAACCCACAAGTGAACACCCACATATAGATATGTTGAAGTTTGGTCTGCTGCTATGTACTGTAATGCTAAGTGAATGCCCTCAAAGCCTGGTTACCCCAGAGATGAGAGAGTGCTATGTGACCTTACACCAAGTAATTTCTGATTGGTGAATAAAGATGCCTACAGCCTATACATGTCTTTATTATCAGTAAGGCTG